CTGAATTCATTTAAGTCTGCTTTGGGTTTTTGTTATTAGGACGAACTCAAATTACATTAAGTGTTATGTTAAATACTAGGGTAGCTGTTTTTATATGAACTTTTACTTAATGCTCCCAATAATCTTATGAAATAGTGTTATCACACCCATTCAGAATAGAAAATAGAAGATCTGAGAGTTGAAGTAACTTACATACAGTTGACCATATAACTAAGTGGATGATCTAAGTCAAAGCCAATCGTCTTATTCCAAAGCCATGCTCTTTTATTGTCTTATCATGAACAATTTTTACTTAAGCTCCCAAAGAAGTTATTATGCTTTAAAAACATGTCCAGTTATCTTTCTCTGCATTATTTTGAGCAATTACACAATTAAATCTGTAGCAGCACTTCCCAGAGTGTGTACCTTTTGGTTTGATGGAGGTTCTACAACAATCTCTCTTTAAAATGAACTCTCCTGATGTTAATTTCCTCATATTTAGTTGGAAGTAACAACACTGCCTCACCTAATTCACTGTGCTGTTTTCAGGATCAAATAAATTAATACATGTTGGAGTTGGCGTACCAGTGAATCATTCCTGCTCTCCTCCCCAGCTGCTCGGGCCAGTTCAGAGAATAGATATGAAAGTTAAGTACGAAAACACAGATATATTTTTTTTTAATAACTGGATTGAAGACCAAAGCTTGGAACTGAAATCAATAAATGTACCTGCTCCCAAATTTGATGTTAGTTCCAACTACTGAGCTGATTAGAGCTGGTGATGAACTAAAACGTGCGCACGAAGAACACTGCGGCCCGCCACACTCTCTGCCAGACGCAGAAAAGCAGGAGATGGATGAGAAGAGAGTGTTCTTTGGCCAGGAACCAGAAAGGACGGCATGAGCTCCGGCCCAGCTTCCCAGTCATTTACAGAACAGAGAAGAGAAATAAAGTGACCCTTTTGGAAGCAAATCAGGCACCACCAGAAATGCAGTCCAGGCATGGTGGTAGAGATTGCAAATTCCTGCACAGTATCAGTTCCCCTCCCCCCTATATGACAATAATACATGCATACACACATACGTGTACACATACTGAGAAAATGACTTCTCTGGCAAAGTCAGCCATGTGGCAACGTGATTAGGTTTGGACAATGGCATAGGGGCAAAGGATATGAGTAACTCTGGATTTTGTCCTTACACTGAAAAGGGTGAGCCCTTCTCTTCCCCCTCCCTTCTGCCCACTCCAATCACGGGCTGGAAGGCGGAAGTGGGACACTTGTGATATTAACAAAAAGGCCAGGATGGACAGGAAGAAGTCTGGGAACCACAGGATCTGAGTATCAGCCCTGGATCTCTGCTCTGCCTCCTATGCTCGGGGTGAAATCATTTGTCACATGAAAGTCGTATATTTTGGAGGTCCTTGTTAGAGCAGCCTAGCAAATAGCCTGACCAATATATATAAGAACGATGACGATCGCTCCAATATTTCAATCAGGTAAGTCACCTGTTCTCCCATGAGCAGGAGCCACTGAGATGGCGCTTCCCCCAAAGGAAAAATGCTCTATTATTTAGGATGGATTTTACCTTTAAGTAACAGAAATTTTAACTATTTAACTGTGATTAAGCAGGTTAATAAATTGTATCAATTTTTCCTTCCCAAGTTTGAAAATAATGGATAGAAATAAGGACCCAGGCAAAAGGCTAACAAGATATTATCAGAAGATACGGGTCTTTTGGTTCCTGAACATCCTGGTCCGGGTCTGGGTGGCCCTGTGAAACAACAGGTGTCATCCGAGTGAAATCGTGTCTCCTGTGGATGACTGCTTTCTAAGAAAATCATGACTCAGTGGTTGAGCACATGTCCAAGTCATTACTCCAAACACATCCAACACGTGAGTACTTCTTCTTTGCTAGAAATGAGTGTGTGAAGGAACTGGAGGAGGCCAGGGAGAGTACACTAGCAGATATCCTCTGTGTGTCTGGAAACAGCCGGTGTCAAGAATAATTCCCTCTTTCCCACTATTTCAAAGCTCTTGTCCTGTTAACTTATCTCTGTAAAATACTGGCCTCTAAACAACAGAAATACTGTTGCTGCAAGCTGGAGTGTTTGAGGAGCCTTTCTTGGACCTTTAAGAGGTCTTTAAATTCATGCAAACTACTACTCTGCAGCGTCCTACTAAGGGAGAACTGACGGGCAAGATGGATTGTGTCTCCATAAGGCAGAAAAACGCATCCAAACAGCTTGTTTACTAAATTGTTTCCATGAACACTCTGTTTAATTCTGAAGATTTTACTTCCAATTTTCCTTTTCCTCTCAAATTGTATCTACCTTTTGTTTCAAATATGTTGCACCCGTGGTTCAGCCAAGACATTAGAAGTGAGCAGGAGAAACAATCTGATCTCAGACAGTAACTGGTGATTTTGGACTCTCGTCAACTTGGCTAAGACAGAATTGGGTTTCCCAGAATTCCTTCCCTTCAATGGTTCTGAATCAGAATTGGCCAAAAGAAAAATATATATGAGATGTGGATAGTGGAAATAAAGCATCATCCATATTCTCTTGAGGTCCTAGTGGTTAGAAGCAGGGAGAGCCAGCTGCAGGTGTAGCCAGTGGGTGGGCTCCTGCCCTCAGTCTACCCCAAGTTTAGAGGAAGACACTGCAGGTGGTCAGGTTCATGCCAGTCCTCGCTCCTCCTGCCTTGTATCTAACCCTTCTTCCTGGTGACCACAGCCCCACGCCCACAGCAGACACAGAGACAGCAGCCTTTCTAGACCCCACCATCTGCTTCCCTTCCGGGATTCCACTCAGGCAGGTGGAGATGCCTCGCTTCCCAGATTTCTCTGGAAGCTCCTACTTGTCCACATGCTTTGGGGGCTAATAAGGGTTGGCTGGTGACTTTTCTCTGACAATCCAACTCTCCATTCCAGACCATACTTTCCCTCTTCCTCCCTTAATGATGTAAGTTCTAATTACTATAATAAATCAATTATTCTATAGTGTTCATAGTGTTGTTGCCTCTCTGATCAAACACTGAGTGACCCAGGAACCACAGACAAGTCCCAAATTGAATACAAAGTCTCTACCATTACTGAATTCTGAGGGAGAAATCCAGTTGAAAGACTAAATCTCTTTGAAAGTTCCATTTCAAAGGCATACACCCCTAAAAGACTTAATGTCTTAAATCAAATCCTATTGCCCTTGTAAGTTAAGGTCAAGGAAATTAGAGCCCTGAATTCAGACTCTCCAATTACTTGTTCTTATTCTCAGCTAGAGAGTTTCTTGAATAACTGGGTAGAATTAGGTTTCTCTCGGCAAATGCAAGCCTAGACACCCTTCTTGGAATAACTAGGGTAACCCCGGGGCCTCGGGGAGTCTTTAGGTTAATGCCAAGCTTCCCGTAAGTCTTGCTGAACAGGAGAACAAATGGGCACTAGAGGGCACATGGAAGTGAGTGTCACTGCCACTTGGTGAGGGCACGAGCAGCACTTTAAAATAAAACTTTGTATTCTGAAACAATTATACATTCACAGGAAACTGAGAATTTAGCACAGAAGGGTCTCGTGTAATTCACCCAGTATTCTCTAGTTGTTACATCTTATCTAATATAATAAACTATCAAAATAGGTATTTGACAATGGTACTTTGTGCATATTTATATATACAGAGTTGTGTAATCACCACTGCAATCAAGATACACAACATTCCATCACCGCAAAGATCACCTCAGTGCGAACCCTCTATAGTCACACCACACACACACCCCCTCACCAGGCTTAAACCCTGGCAAACACTAACCACTTTTCCATCTGGATAATTGTAAGAATGTTTTATCAGTTGAATCGTATGATATGTGATCTTTTGAAATTGGTTTTTCTTTTCACCCAGCGTGGTGTCCTTGAGGTCCATGCGAGTTTCTGTGCATATCAATAATTTGCTCCTTTTTTGTTGCTGAGTACTATTCCATTGTTGGCATGTACACCTTTCTCAATTGGTTTACCTAGTCCATTTGCATTTAATGTAACCATTCAATGCTTAAGCTTACGTCTGATGTTTTCTTTTTTGTTTACTCTTTGTTTTGTTGTTTCTTTTTTTTCTATCTTCCCTTTCTAGCCTTCACATGAATTACTTGAACTTTAAAAAAATTCAATCTTGACTTCTTCTGTTAATGAATGCAGTATTTGTAAAGCTTCTCTTTAAAGTTTGCTTTACGTTTACACTATATATACACAACTTACAAAGCACATTGGTGCTGACATTTTACCCGTTTAAGTATATAGAAATCTTACCTAAGTCCCTTGACCTTCCCCAACTTGTATCGCAATTGTCGTAAGTATTTCCCCCACACATATTTTTTAAAAGTGTGAAAGAGAAAAAAAGCAGCAGAAATTTAAGGAGGTGTTCATTACAAAGTGAGTGAGAAACCATTTTGCAAAGATTACATCAAATTGTGATGGGTCTTTTAAAACTCTGCTTAGCTATGCTAAGGGATTGCAGTTTCTTTGGGTAGTAAATTGTGAAATATTGATTTTGCAGGAGAGAACATGTTAACAGCACTTTGGAGTACACGTAAAAATCAATATTTTATACAATAATGACAGTAATGCTCACATATACCGGAAAGAGGAAAAAAATGTAGGCTCTGGGAAAATTTTAGTTTGAAGTCCCAGAAATAGTGAGTGAAAAGCCTTCTAGAGAAGACAGGGGTGGAAACAGTTCACACAGAGAGGAATCTGAATGAACGGAGAAAGCAACAGGGTCTTTTCCTAAAACCGTGACCTGGAGTTTAAATACTTGTTATCTGTGAGCTGACGGTCGGTTTGGGTAGTCAGGATTTTGCTTCTAGCTCTAGAATGATTTCATACCAGGAGGAGCAGCGGTCGTTGCTTCAAGGCTTTGCTGCTGCTCACAGTTCAACGATCACAATTATTCATGAAATGACAAGGTACCACCTAAACAGCATTAAAATTAGTAAGTCAGTCTAAATGCTCCTAGAAAACATTGTATTCCATTGTACTTACTGTCATGGTGTTGCACTTTGCTGTGATCAATCTTCTTTATTTGGGTATGGAGTCTACTTGCCTATTGAGAAAAAGTAAATTACACAAGAATTAAGGTATTGTAAGGGTGTCATTCAGAGCTGTCAACATGAATAACAAATACAAATATTTACTAAGAAACAATTATTATAAAGTTCATTTTCACAGTAATAGTAATATCATATAGTCAACAAGAGAGACATTTGTATGCTGGATACTCAATTTTATAATTTTCAAGTAGGTACAGGTTGAATATATTTATAGCATACAAAATAATTCTACAGAAGAGCACAGTGTTATAGATTCCCCACATTTGGGGAATATTCATTGTCCACTTAACGTATATTGCATAAGTTTCACAATTTAATATTTCAGTGACTAAAAGATTGGCTTAAATGGGATTGTTTACTATATTGAATTAAGCCAGATAACTTAATGATCTTTTTATAGTCCTCAAAATCGATGAGATTCTTAAGACATAATAGAGATAAATGCAATTAAACAAAAATGCTTTAAAGCTGTTATTCTTAAATTTATTACTTCTATAGCTATAAAAACTCTCTTCATTTAAAAGGCTTTCAAATAAAAGTTATTTAGAGTATAACACATTTTTTCCCTAAATTCTATACTGAGCAATAAAGTAAAAGTACTAAACATGGGAATGAAATGAGACTAATGACATTTATTAGATTGAATATCTAATATCCCAGAAAATAACGTGACTTCTTCAAAATAATAAAAATAGCAGGCTTGAAAGTAGAGCTTCTGACTTTAACCACAGTGTTCTTTCCATTATGATATTCCATCCTAAGAACTAGCCTTCAAAAGAAAGAAAATATATTTCACCTTGAGATAAAAAAGAGAAGAATATGGGTAAAGAGACACAGAAATGTTGACGTTGGGAATAAGCAATTTCAGTTAACTGAGTTTTGTAGACCTGAATTGTTTTTAGTAAAACAGAAGCTAAGATCCCCTGAAAATAGGTCTTGTAAAAAGTGAAATGTTTTGTAAAAACGGTCATAATTTTAATAGGGAGAGAACTGGAGATGAATGATACGTATGTCAGCACTGAGTCCTTTGTAACTAACCTCAATCTAAACAGAAAACAAATGGTAATTCTAAATTCTAGTTTTGTCTGCAAATCTGATTACATGTAAACAAAAAGGAACTTAAGGTTACAACGTATGATCAAGTGGAATTGCAAAAAAGCCAGAGGGCTAAACGTAGGGTGAGGCTATGTGACTTGATCTATTAAAGTGTAATATAGTTGCTATAAAAATAAAAGACGATATGGAAAAAAGCAGACATTCATAGCCAGAATTAAAAATTAGAAACTTAAGATGTGGTGGATAGATAGACAGATGAATGTTATTAAGCCATGAGGAGGAAGAACAGCCTGCCATTTGCAACATGGATGGACCTTGAGCACACTATGCTAAATGAGATAAGTCAGACATAGAAAGACAAGTACTGTATGATATCACTATACGTGGAATCTAAAAAAGCCAAACTCATAAAATCACAGAGTAAAATGATGGTGGGGGTGGGCGTGGAGGCAAAGGACAGCCATTGTTTAAGGGGACCAACCTGCAAAGAGTACATAAGCCCTAGAGCTCTAATGCACACCTTGGTGAATATAGACAACAATATATTATAATCATCTAACTTGCTAAGAGACTAGAACTTAATTATTCCAATCACTGCAAAGAAATAATTATGTAATGTATCTAACACAGATGCTAATTATTGCTACAATGCAACCATATTACAGTACATAAACATATCAAATTAACCTGCTGAACACCTTAAATTTACACAATGTTATGTGTCAAATACATTTCAATCAAAAAGACAGTTTTACCCAGTGTGTAATGCGTCTGTGTGGAGAAAAATTTAAGAACACTTGTAATAAAGATGTTTCTAAAAAGTTGAAAGAGAAAAGAAAGGAAATTAGAAGCCTAATTTTAGATTCTAGGTTTGGAGTATTAAAAGTAAATAATTTCCAGTTGTTAACAATGTATGATAGATTCATCCTAAAGGATGACAAACCCAGGATGTAGAATAAGATGACTGGTTGTTGGTAAAGCAAGAAGCAGAGAGGAAAAAGAGTGAACATATTTTGAATCAGTATTAACGACAGTTAATTTTATAAGGACCACTGTGAACTAGATGCTGAAGCCCTCAAGAAAGTTAGAAACCCCGTATATTTGCTTGATGTTTGGGAGTAGGGACGTGGGTAAGTGTGATCACTTCCGAAGGCAGAAGGATAGAGTATTAACAGCAGCTGAATGATTGCTTGGGATCCACAATGTATAGCAGAGAGAATGCAACTTCTGCTTCTAAATCCCCAAGTACAAGAGAGAAAAAAGCAGCAGCAGGTCCACTGAAGAGAGCTCGAGCCACAAGTCATACAAAAGGTTTAAGAATAGAAATAACAATTCAGAAAAAAAAACCCATACTGGGATGCTTGTTGGGGACATTATACTTTCCACGGAGTGCAATGACAGTAAGGAGCACCAAGGTAAACAAAAGGGGAAAACCCAGGAGGGGCGGGCTCAGGCAAAGACGTCTCAACTGTGAGTAACTAGCACCAAAGACTCTGTCTAGGCTCCTAAGAACAAGAGGGAAACAAACGCCCTCTTACCCATTCATACAACCTGCCATGATCGCTGTCAACTGCACACTCCGTAAGTGCACGCTGAGCAGGTTGAAACTGGAATTTGGGTGCAACCAAGGGAACAATATAATAATTATTTCTTTTCAATCTCCTTTTTATTTAAGTTAATGACTATTCATATTTAAAAAAATAATAAAGACCTCAAGAAAGGAGATGACTCCAAGTTCCACTTAAGGCAATAAATGGATAAGGTTTTAAACATTAATAAAACATGCTGTGTAAAATATTAACCGAAATCAAGAGAATAAGTATCACATCACAGCTTTCATGATCAGATCCAGCAAGGAGCCCCGAGTTCAGTTCTGGGCAGCTCATGTAATACCTGCTTTATGTGTCCAGGCTGATGAAGGATCTGAAAACCTTAATTTAAGAGGAAGAAAGGAGAAAAAAAGAAGAACCAGAAGAAGGACAAGAAGGAAAAAGAGAAGAAGAAAGGGAGAAGAAGGTGAGAGATTTAAAAACACTGAGCACGTTTACCCTAGAAATTAAAATTAAAGCTGTAGGAGGAGATATTGACTTCCTTCATTAACTAGGAGAATTTTTCAGGCTCTTTTTTTTTTTTTTCCAGGCTTTTTCAGTATCATTTAAGGGATGACAGAACAGGTTGAAGATATAATTGGAATTACAAAGAGATGCTCTTTAGGTTAAATTATGTAAATATTTTCAAAACAATAAGGTGTGTAGAACAGACTACCTGAAACTCAAGGAAAATAACTTGTCAGGATCACGGAGAAAACAGAATTAGTGTGATCAATGGTGGTATTTTAGAACTTAAATCACTAATAAGCTCTATTCTAAATTTTTAAAAATAGTTTATTTTGTATTTGCGTAAAAAGTAATCTTTTGCAATACAAGTTTTTTGCTTTTTCTCATTCATACACTTGGACCTGGATTATGCAGATAGAATGCCCAATGTTGAACTATTTATACCCAGCCAAACTGTACTGTGCATACTGTGGGAAAATCTCAAATAATTCTAAAAGGCATCCATTTCTTCCTATAAATCCAAAATTAAAATTTGTTTTCTTATCTAAAACAATTTTAAATAGGAACTTACTACTTACACGAGTCACTATTAAGTCAAAGTGTGTTTATTTTCCCACATATTAAAATAATGCAGCAAAATATACAACTTTCTAAGTCCCTGAAGATCATTATCACATCAAAATGTTTAATTTTATAATGACTTTCTTTCCAATTCCTTTTCTTGCTTTAATCCATCTATCTTACACTGATGGTCTCAAGGTCCCCTGGGAATTTTCCTCCCAGACAAACCTGCTTCTGAATCCCTTTTCTATAGCTCTGTCCAAGGGACCAATGTTGGATATTCTTGAAGAAAATGAAGAGGTCGTAAGTAGTCACCATTTATTCTTTTGGTAAAGTTTAGCTTTAGGATCTGACCCTCTTCTGCTCTATTCAGCTCTGGGAGTGTTCAGGATCAAATAACCTCCCCTACTCTCCACAGGGACAAAATATGACCCAGGGTAAAAAGTTAGGTTGCTCTAACCACTTGGACAGAGCAGAGTAGAAAGCAGATGAGATAAAGACTCTGTTGGTACCATATGAGCCACACCAGCCACACCTACCCCATGTGTCAGAGCCCTAACTAGAAGGCTGTAAATCTCAAACATTTTTAATTGTCTGACTTTGATACCATGTGGAGAGAGCCTATTTGGAAATGAAACAAACAGGGACAAAAGAAGGAATAGGAGAGCTAGAGAAGTAAGACACAGACCTGAAGACATCAGTGATTTCCTAGATGCCAACAGGTGTTATGTCAGGATCAGCCCCCTCGAATCAACCACTAGTGTGAGCCAAGAGTTAACTTCTTGCTTAAGCCATTTGAGTTGTGTTATAGTCACTTATAATTGAAAAGCCTTGACTAATGTACCGCCTATACCCCTTTTCTCCTTAGACCTAGAATTCAGAGCAAGCCCTCTGCCATCCTCTGGGTCAGATTAGTTCTAATCAATCCCTAACTTCCTCCACCTTTCCTAACCCAGCAGAACCAAAAATGCATCCCATGTATAAGGTGTTTCCCCAGATTTTAAGGTCACATTGCTTTCTGTTGACACATGATTTTCTAAGACAAGGCCTCGGATGAGAAGAGAGAAAGGAGAACATGGTAGGAAAATTGTATTTCCTTTTCTTCTACAGTGTAGAGTAATATTCATTTTTAACACTCTACACAAACTGATTACAAAACTAGATTTAAAACTTCTAGTATCCTTGCTTAATTTTGTGTATCTTCAGAGAATTCTTCCCCCTGTAATACACTTTCGTGTGGTCTTGACAGTCTCCAGAAAACCTCCCTGGTGAACCCAAGTTAGGATATGGGTGTAGAATGTGGTCAAACATTAGACTCC